CTATAATGGGCCACTTCTGATTGGTTAACATTGGCTGGTACATGTGGAGCACAGCACTTCTGATTGGTGTGGATGTCTGACACACAAGAATAACAATTTTTTTTTTAGATTAAAAAAAATCGTAGGCTTTGCGATTTGATAATCGCATCATTTCAAATCGCAATTTCAATTTAAAATCGATTAATCGTTCAGCTCTAGTGCACATTTATCAGATAGCTGTTGGAAAGAAGCAATTGTGTTGTGAATATAAAGATCTTTGAATGTTTTAATGCCTTGGTTAGACCAAATAGTAAATGCGCTATCAACTAAGGGTGGAGGAAAAACATGGTTTGCAGTTAAAGGGGCTAATGTAGAGTATGTTTGGAGATCAAAGAAATGTCTTAACTGATTCCAAATGTTCAATGATGCTTTGACAATTACATTTTTAGTGTAAGCAGAGGAGGGGGTCTTAATGGGAGAGTAGAGATACTGGACTACAGGAAGCAGCCTCCATTTCAAGGAAAACAGGCAGAGAGTGCTGTGAGTCAGACTGCAGCCAGGACTGTATTATTCTCAGATTAGTAGCCCAATAATAGAACTTCAAATTCTGCAGAGCAAGTCCACCCCGCGCCTTTGGTCTCTGTAAAAATTGCTTGGGTATCCTTGGGGTTTTCTTGTTCCAAATAAAGTTAGAAATAATAGTGTCAGTTTTACTAAAAAAAGTTTGAGATAAATATAGAAATTTGGGGAGTATATTCATCTTTTATAGAATTTAATTCAGGCAACCAGAGACAGATTTAACACTGACCAGCGGTCGAAGTCTTCCTGTACGCGGGACAAAAGGGGGGCAAAATTAGCTTTTATAAAGATCTTTAAATGTATTGGTCACCTGGATCCCGAGGTAAGTGAAGCTGTGTAGTGGAGTTTTAAATGGTAGACTATGTAGAGGGAACTCACGCGCCGCTCTATTTAAAGGGAACAATTAGCTTTTACTTAAATTTAGTTTATAACCGGATACAGCACCAAATGAGCTAAGGATAGAGAGAGCTGCAGGGACAGACACAGATAAATTAGAGGAGCTCTCTGGTCTACCCCATTTCTGAAAATACCTCTAATGCGGGGATCACAGCGAAGAGCGATGGAGAGGGGCTGAAGTTAAACTTTAAACATCCATGACTTAAACATTTTATCCAGGATAAAAGCCACATAGCTGTACCTGCAAGGTGAATACAGCTGGTAAAAAAAAAAGTGTTTGAATTCGTACATTAACAGTTTTATGATATCACTGGCACCCCATCTAAAACACGAGTGGATCTGACTTTAATTACATTTGACTCGAGTGTTTCGTCAACTTAATGTGTTTTTAAATAATACTTCTGCATACAGTATGAGACACTGTGAGTGTTGCACGGCCAGAAATGGCTCAAGAAGCTGACTCAGATAAGGAAATATATGATATATTATGATGTGATATGAATGATAATGGGACACATCGAGGTCTGCACTCAGTGTCGCGGACTGTAGTAGGCTACATAATGTTACTTTGATCCGGTTACTTATGTTGTGGCAGATATTTAAGTAAGGTTTCTTAACGCTAATGTTATAATAGTCAGATTGCTCTGAAGATGGGAGGTGATATTCTATGAATTTCTATGGAGCAGGTTTGGTGTTCAGCACTAGTTACCATGGCAATCTTCCCCGGTAAGAAGTGAACCAGCGTCGTAGGACCGGAAACCCAGAGTTATCCGGCTTCGTAGTACAGGGCACTGGTCAGTCACCATCACAATATTTACACAAAAGTATTTTATGTCTCATAACCAAGAAGACCTGCTGCCAACATCACTCAGGTGTGAGTCTTCTGTGAACTAAAAGCTATCGGCTGTCAGTCACACATTGGCGTGACTGTCTCGCAATTAGGGGAGTAATGCTGTCATTTTTTTTTTTTACGGTCATAAGGTATTTTCTCAAAAGAGTGTCTAGTTTTCCTAAAGTAAAAAAAAGGAAAACTTACCCTGATATTATGATTCTTGTCCTTATTTCAGTTATGTCAATACTTGTCATTTCAACACATTCTAAGACATTTTAGTCAATAGTTGACAACAAACGATTTAGTTCCTAGTCATTTGATTCTCTGAAAATAGTGACATAATGAATCTGTTTTTGTCACATGAATTAGATACATGCTACAAAGAGGCCTCGCCATTATAAAAATAAACACATTCAATCATAATGTGCAAAAAATAAACAAACTTTAGTTATCATAGTTGTACTAAATTAAAGCTGGAAGTGGATTGTCAAAATACCTAGTCAGCAACTACTTGTCTTTCCAAAGCATACATTTAGTTTTTGTCTTGTTGTATACAGTATGTACCTTGTACTGAAGTTATCCCCTGTAACAGCCATAATTGATGTTGTGCCTGTCTCATATAGAGTACAGCAGCTAACCAGCCCCTCCTCTCTCCTCACAGTGACAGTGTGTGAGCCCCACGCCATGTCTGAAGCCGTGACGGAGCCTCACAGAGCGGGCGGCTTCCTGGAGTCCGCCTGTGCAGCCTCCCTCGACGGCATTGTGGATACAGCAAAGTACGTCCACATCTTGACACTACCTGATCATGAGCTTAGGTTCTCTGACTTGGTGTTAGAAGAAAATATAAGGGGTCACGTGATGAACAAAAATGGGAAGAAGAACAAACAGATTCTGCTTTATTCATTATGTTTCATAATTGAATGATGTTTATCTTTGCTCTAAAAAGTATTCAGTGAAAAAGTTCAAAATGTTAATGTCAGCTTTTGCTCAGCTGCTCACAGAAATATGTGATGGTGTGAAGGTGCTCCCATGTAAAGGATGAATGAGAAGGTTTGGCATGCTTTCATGATAGCTTGTTGTTCTCTATTTGCACAAGCACCATTGCCTTTCACTAAGATTTTAAATGCAGATGAGATCTGATTACACCACCCAGGGTGGAGCTCCAGCTCTCAGTAGTAATGCACATAATGTTAGTTATTGTGCAGTCTCCTTGTAATCACGGCGGTTTTACCGCTTTTGAAGCTTTAATGTAGTGCAATAGAGATATCATTTTACTTTGAGAATATTATTGTGACCTGAAGGTTAAATATATATTTTCAGTTTGTGTTTGGAGCAGTGTTTCCGCCAGACCAGGGCTGAGAGTTCGTCCACCCCGAGGGGGGGGGGTTTGTTTTGAATTTTGACTTGAGCCGTCCCTTATAGATACGGTATTTTTACATTAGTGAGCCGGATCATTTGGCTCGGCTCTCTTAAAGCGCCGGCTCTTTCGGCTCCCAAACGGCTCTTCATGTTACCACAGTTTACCACGGAGCCTCAGTTTCGCCGCTGCGAGGTTCTGGTGCTCGCAGCTCACGCGCGTGCTCCACTAAAACCCCTCCCGCTCAGCGCATCCAAATCGCGCACGTTCCGTGTTGTCCTGTAGCAGGCACCTTCGATGTCGGGGAAACAATCTTCAATACTCCGAAAATAATCCCACCAGACTCCTTTGCCCCTCCAACTGCGGGATGTCCTTTTTCCTTTTCGTCATTTCAAGCGAAAAAAACTCTCGATCTTCTCTCGAATTATTAATATTTTTGGACGCCCTCGGCTCGCGTTCAGGGCGTCCCGAGCTGAATAAGGGCGTCAAATGACGGTAAGACGGCCCCCTGGCGGAAACGCTGGTTTGGAGCCACAGATGCTTGGCTCCCAGGGTATGACAATCAGCTCTCCCTCTGTGCTAAGTGGCTAATATATTTTCCTTTCCCTGTCCTCAGTGAGTCTTCGGGGGAAGAGTCCGCAGGGGAAAGGGAAGAGGAAATTGGTGCACAGGATGAAAACGCCAGCAGCACCAAGACGACAGAGGTCCCTGCTGGACGGACGTCAAACACACAAACAGGTGAGGGCTAATGAGTGAAGCTTAAATGTGTTCACTCTTCATCCCTCTATGAACTGAGGGAGGTGCAGCCAAATGCCGTTTGTTAAGCTATACACAGATAAATAACTTTTCTAGTTTGGCTTCAGTCACTGTGTTGGCTCTAGTTGCTGAAGTCAGCATTTGTGGATGTGTTTTCTCCTCTGACCTTTTATCCTCAGGAAGTGAGCCAAATCAAAGTGAGCGAACTGCACATTCTTTGGCACAACAAACTGCACTTCCCTTTTCCTGTCCAGTTTTTCGTTGTTAGCACTTTGACATTCCTTTCTGTCTAAGTCACTGAGGGAAAATCCTGGCACTAGTTCCTTTTATTCCATGAAATTTGTTAAGTTTATATTTGACTTTGTTATGTAGTTACGAGAAGCTTCATAATCGTACCATGACAAATTAGGTCTGTGGTCATCTGGTGAATAGATTATAATGTGGTTGGTGTTTACAGGGTAATACACTAAAATCATATTTTCAGTGCTGCTGGTGGAGTCCATAAGAAAAGAGTAATTGTACTGATAACAGCTGGGTATGTTTGGCCATAAATCCACCATCATTTAGTTCATCCGTCACCACACCATCGTTTATTGAAAACATCCTGCTCGCCGGCTATCTTTTCTTTCAGAGTGTGTTTACTTAAGTGTAATGGATTCTCTAAACCAAAGTACAACAAAATGTTAGCTCACTTATGTTGTTGCTCAGAATCCCTCAGTGCACAGGAAACTGTGGGTTCACACAACCGTGGCCTGTATGTGACTGCGAGTTGAACCAGGAAGTTCCTCTGCAAACTGTGATCGACTTTCTTTTCTTTCAAAAAGTTTGGTTGACATGGACTCTTGCTTACATTCTGCATGATGATCTGATTCACGTTTTTGTTAATAATAATGATTCATTTAATTTATGAAGGCACTCAAATAAAAGTCAAATGAAAAGTTGAATAAAATAACAATTTTTTGTTTCATTTGAGTGTTTTTCTGTAAAACACTTAACAGCCTTTGCGGTTGGTAAATACTGAACTATTGACCTCGCTGTTTCTAAGAAATCTTTATCTAGCCAACAAGAGGTAATGGCTTCCATCTTTTATCGCTGTGTATCCTGAGGATAGCCAGAGGATGTGTGACATCCACTGTAACACAACAAGTATTACACTGGGTGTCAGTTACAACTCTCGTGGATATTAGGTGAAAAGCAGAGGATTCAGTTCTGTATGTTTCTGGGAACATTTCATGACAACGGTTTGCTTATTCTTTTGATTTTTTGTTTTTTTATCCAGTGAGTACCCAGCGCCCAAACTCCCTGCAGGTGCACGCAGCAGGAGAGCCTGGCCTGTGGACGTCTCAGGGCGACGCTGAGGTGAAACTGAGGATGGGGGACTCTGGCCTGGCTGCTGAGACCCCTCTGACCGTCAACCAGATGTTCACCTCAGCTGTGGAGCGCTTTGGGGACCATACGGCTCTGAGCTGGAAGGAGGGCGAGCAGCAGAAGAGCCTGAACTACAAGGAATACTACCAGACCTGCCGCACCGCTGCCAAGAGCTTCCTTAAGGTAACCATTGAGGAATCTAATATAAATCATAGTCTTATACGAGAGGGTCACACGATCATCTGAACCGTATTCATTTTTTAGTTTTCATTACAATCATCTTTGGGAGAATATTAGCAGCACAAACCACCAACAACTCCTGTTCTGAAGCATTATTGATTTTACTGCCTAGCCTCAAAGAATGTATATATTCAGCTTTCTGGGTAGTAAAGCAATTTAATTGAATAGTTAATCAACAGCATTGTTCCTCATAATGATTTTTAAAGTTTAGGAATTTTTGCTTTTCTTGGTTATTATTTTATATTTGTTGTCTACACTGCCAGGTTCAATCCTGGGAAAATTGGTGTTGCTCAATTAGAGCAATTCCTCAAAGTCTCATTTCAACAACAACAAAATTCATTGTAAAATCGAGTAATTCTCGATTGCACAACCTTTACCCTACCTTTTTTAAAGTGAGCACAGTAGTATCAAAAATCCATTTTGTTTCAACCAGACGACATTTCGCTTTGTACAGCAACACATGACGCATCACAAAGGAGTCGGGGTGAAATTAGCTTTGACTGTTTCCGTACAGTACAGAGTGCTTTGTTGTTAACCATGAGACTCAACACAGTTTTTAGCAATCGGGCTCAGCATTGCACACACACACACACACACACACACACACACACACACACACACACACACACACACACACACACACACACACACACACACACACTCTGTCAACACACACACACACACCACACACGCACACACACACACACACACACACACACACACACACACACACACACACACACACACACACAGTTGTCTCTGAACTTAAGCACACACAATAAACTGAACCTGAACCTCCACACATGCCGACCCTGTGACATGGCAACATGATCTGTTGGGCTTCAGATGTCAGACCTCATATTGTACCCTCTGTTGTGAAATACTTGAGTCATTTAAAAAAGCTCCTTGGTATCGATTCCCATTTCTGGCAGTCTCATGTGTACACTTGGCTGTATATCTGTTTCCATAGCAACACCTGTCATTGCAAAGTGCCTCCTGATCTCTGATCCGTCTGGAGAGAAGTTGATCTGCCACTGGCAGCTCAAAACTGTGTCCAAAGGTTTCAAGAGTTTAACAAAGTCTGGTTTAGACTGATATCATATCAGTCATTTCTATTTTATTGTATTATTACTTTTTTAAATGTTTAAGGAAAATAATTGTTTTCTTCTTAACTTGCACAGGACAGTGTCAAGTTTCATCTTAAAACATACAAATAATTGTACAATAGCAATATTTACATTGCCTTTTCCCCCTCTAGACAGTTATAGGGATATAGAACAATGTATTCATTAATTTATACTTAAAAAGTGTTTGTTTTTGTTCAGCTTGGTTTGCAGCGCTGCAATGGCGTCGGAATCCTCGGCTTCAACTCGGCCGAGTGGTTCATCTCTGACATCGCAGCTATTCTAGCAGGGTGAGTTTCATCTTCACTCTGAATGTGTAAGCGATGAGCGCAGTGTTCCCTCACTCAGCTCTGTTATGGAGGACATGCACACATAAACACAGAGTGGTGTGATCCAAGACTTGAAATGTGAGTTCAGCAGGGCCTTCACATGTCAACCAATTCATGATTAATGGGTTTCAACCCAATAGAGTGGCGAAGTCACGCCCTTCTGCTTCCGCCCCATGGGACCTTATTTCGGAAAAATTATGTATTGAAGTAGGAGAGAGAAAGATTATCTTTCGATCCCGTTTGAATTGTGCCATGAATTACACATATGATGTTTGTCAATCTTAAAAAATAATTTCCATGTCAAAAAAGTCACAGTTTGTCGTAAAACTGTTGAAATATAAGACTATGAAAAATACGCAACTAGAAATCCCAGAGTCGCGTAAGTTATGTCATTAACATTACACTCGTGTTACTCACTGAAACCTTGTAAAGCCGGTCCCGCATGCTGGCTCTTACGTAACCGACTAACTCCCCTTTTGTGTATGTACAGCTCTCAACATGCCCAGACTTGAAGTGATTTTCACCTCTTTTAATACTTTTCGCCTCATTCTGAAAGAAATAAGTGAAATGTGCCAACGTGACGGCCATCTTAGTGTTGGTGATGTGTGCGAGACCAGAGATCTGGTTTATTGAGCGTTTCACACAAACAAATGTTACTTCACAGTTTTACGACACATTTTAATTTTTTTGACTTTCAAAATTATCTTTTAAATTGACAAACATCATATGTGTAATTTGTGGCACAATTCAAACGGGATCAAAAGATAATCTTTCTCTCTCCATTGACTTCAATACATACTTTTTCCGAAATAAGGTCCCATGGAGGTCCCCCGGAAGGGGAGCGACCTAGCCTCTCGATAACAAACAGAAAGCTGATGGACTGCACTGTTGGACAGTAGCTAGATACATTCACTTCACTTTAGTTTGACATTTGACACTGGTTTATTTGCTGTAAATACTCATATCCTCATGTGTGTTTTTACATGTGTGATATACATATAACATCCATATATAAGGATTTCAGCACTATCCACTGAGCCACAGCCTCCGCAGTAAAGAGAAGCCTTTCTTTAGCATGCTAAACGGAAATAAGATAAGATAAGATGGTACTTTATTGATCCCAATTTAGGATGTTGACTCCCATCTGAGAAACTATAAACTCCAAGTAATTAGGAAAGCTGAACACATTAATTGGTCAAGGGCAGATTAGTCTCAGCTGAGCTGGTAAACCACCAAACATCTGTGACAGGGCATTGGGTTGTTGTCATGCTGGCAGCTGCCCGATTTAAGCCACGATTATGGATACAATTTGTATTTAATGCAATTCCTGAAAGGATGATGACAAGATTTCATTGCATGATATGGGTCTGGTTATACAACAGATAAGTACATTTCTCTTGTGTGCTAAGAATGTAGAAATGCAATACACAAACCGATACTGTGAGTTTATTCTCCACGCCTACCGTCTGCTGAGTGCTGCTGCGTAACAAGAATGTACGGAAACGGCAGTTAACTTGACGAACCAGTGCCATACATTCCAGGTTAATTTGACTAACTGAGAAGTCGACTCACATTTGCTGCAGGTTAAAAAAAACAACAAAAATGCTGCAAGGTCAGGTTGTTTTTAAATGTCTTGTTTTTACTAAGAATAGAACAAAAAAGGAAACCAGACGGCTCACTTTGAGACAAACACCGTACAGTGCGCCATAGAAATGCAATGATTATTTGACTAGTCAATCCACTATAAAAGCATTTTAATAATCGGTCGATCGTTCTTTTCATGCAAACTTGGCAGAAAATATCTTAATCATCTTTTGGTTTTGAACTGAGAAAACAGGACATTCAGAGACAACAATTTGGACACTGAAAAACTTGGAAAGACTATCTGAAAAGGTCTGCGAATAAATCGATAATAAAAATAAAAGTTAGTTGAATCCCCGTTTAGCGGCAAACAAAATCGTTCAGGCTTAATTTTAAGAAAGCGAGCATTGCTGTGAGTTTGTTCCAGATGGTTCATTAAACTTAGAGATCTGCAAGGTTTATAATGAAGCAGAATAATAATCCTTTTGTTTGTTGCAGGGGGTTCGCTGTTGGCATCTACACCACCAACTCTCCTGAGGCATGCCAGTATGTAGCAGAAAACTGCAAGGCCAATATCATAGTGGTGGAGAACCAGAAACAGCTGCAGAAGATCCTTCAGGTGAGATCAGAAGAACTTATCTATAAAATACTGTGGAGAACTATGAATTAAAGATAGCAATTCAGGATATTTATATCAACAATGTAGTTGTACCTGTTATTCCAGAAGGGGTATTGGCATTTTGCTGCCACTATTCATTGTTGGAGTCAACCATAACAAAACATTTTGAGTTGATGGCATCTTTTGCAAATGTATAGACATTGAGTTACAAAAAGTATAACGACCTGTCAGATGTGGATGTACAAATCATGTGTCATGTAAGACAAGTTAAGAGACGGCTAAATGTTTTTGTAACCGTGAAGTTATTTCTTTGGTTTGTTTTTCAGCCGTGAAGAATTTGACTCAAGTTTCCTTTGTGCATGACTTTTTGTACATCTATATCTGACTCAACATCAAAGGGTTTTTAATCTGCCTGTCAACATATTACCTTCTTTAAACCTGTTAAGAATCAGTATACACTTATGGATTTGGAGGACACAACTACTTTTAGACCCTAATTTGACTTTTTTAGAAAAATGTAGCACTATTATTCCTATTTTTTCTCAGTTATCATAAATAAACTACTGGCTGTGTTTGATTGTATTCTGTTTGCTCACAGGTTGAAGACAAGCTGCCACACTTGAAAGCCATTATCCAGTACAAAGATGCACTTAAAGAGAAGAGACCAAATCTGTACACGGTAAGAACACTGAATCTTCTCATGGCAAACATGGAACGTTTTATTTGGTTAAAGAAGCATCATCCAAGTGATTCTGTTTGTGTTCGGCAGTGGGCCGAGTTCATGGAGCTCGGCCGCGATGAGCCTGACGCTCCCCTCGATGCCATCATTTCCAGCCAGAAGCCCAACCAGTGCTGCAGCCTCATCTACACCTCAGGCACCACCGGCCAGCCCAAAGGAGTCATGCTGAGCCACGACAACGTGAGTAACAGGAACCAAGTGTGTTTCGACTTGAAAACACACACCCGTGCAGACGCCGCTGACACATTCGCATACAAATGAAATTACTACACGTTAGTCAGGTTTAGTAATGTGTGTTCAAGACAATCCAGGTGAACAGATTACATGCTGTAGCCAGTGTTGGAATTTAACCTAAGTACATTTACACAAGTGCTCTACTTAAGGACGCATTTTAAAAGGGAGTTGTACTTTTGAGTATTTCCTTTTAATGTTGTTTTTACTCCAATACATTTATTTTAAAATTGAAATACAAAATAGGTTTCTATCAGGTTACTTTAGGACAGTGGTCGCCAACCAGTCGATCGCGATCGACCGGTCGATCGCGAGTGTGGTGCGGGTAGATCGCGGACCGTTAAAAAAAAAGTAACAAAAGAAAGAAAAATTAAATTAAAATAATAATGTTTGAAAAATACGTTTTTAGATGTAAACCTATCATCCACGACCCCATTAGCAGGTGCCACTTGATTGACGTATATTTGAGACACCTCAATAATATAATACATTAACCGTGCTTTACGTGAACCACATCATGACACAAGAGACGACGGCAGAACTGTAATTTCCCGTGTTCAGTGAACGCAACAGAGGCAACACACCAGACCAATCAGAGAGTTGCATGGAAATACACGTGTGCTTGTGTCATTCAAGCTCGGCTCTGTGTGTGTGTGTGGCGATAGCGCATTTAGTGTGATAGAGAGGGAGTGAGGGAGTGAGGGAGTGAGGGAGAGAGAGGTACCGGTGCAAGCGGGGACCGTGATGTTAGCATCTGGTTAGCTAGCTGCACTAATGGACATGAGGAGCCGTTTCCACAACAAGCTGGAGGAGAGTCCTC